TTTTTTTTTTTCTTTCTAGTTGTCGTGTTTGCATGAGGTAGCGGCGGCAGGGTGGGCGAAGGAAATGCGTGCGCCGGCGACAAGTAGGGCAGCTTCTGCCAGCACCACTGCTGCTGCTGCTGCTTCGGTTTCCGCATCGCTCCGAAACGACCTCGTGCGGTATATCCGTCCGATGGCACGCCGCATTCGCCACACACCTTCTACTGCGGCGACGAGCACTCTGCAGGAGTGCGGTGCACACACACACGCTGCTGGCGGGGGGCGAACGCCCGGCATCCGTGCGCCCGTCACATACTTTGCCGCGCGCATGAACGCGTTACTGAACCGCCCTCTTGAAGTGCCGAGAGGCGTTGACGTGACGGTGCCACTGTACCGCTGCCCCATATGCTGCAGTGCCGCTGCGGGGGATGAGTCGTGGATGACGCCGCAGGAAATAACGCGGCACATGAGTTGGCTGCACGCCNTATGCTGCAGTGCCGCTGCGGGGGATGAGTCGTGGATGACGCCGCAGGAAATAACGCGGCACATGAGTTGGCTGCACGCCTCCAGCGGCTCCACGCAGGCGAACTTCGCCGCCTTCAACGCACTCGAAATGGCGCGTCTCTGCAGGGCGCTTCCATCGTCTGCCAATGCGCCAGGCGACGCAGCAGCAACAACACTCTCAGTGGCCCGTGTGGTGGTGCTGCTCGACGTCGCAAACATTGAGCTGAACATTGAGGAGGTTCTGTTTGAGCTGCTTTCTAATGAGGAGAGCCTCATGTTTTTCCGCCGTGTGGCGTGTGCGTTCGTGTGCGTACACGAAGTCTTTATCCCGCACACGTCGCGCCCTGGGCACGTCTTCTTTCAGCTCTCCCGCCTGCACCGGCACTCCGACACCTTCACCATCTACGCGGCAACGCGGAACGAGTCAGGAGACTTGGTCTCCGCCGCGCTGATGGGTGATCTGCTGCTGCAGAACATGCGGGGCTGCGCCCCGGCGATTGTGCTGCTCACAAAGGACCGCGTGCAGAAGTCGTGCGTGGCGGAGATGTTCGGTGGCGTTGCAGGGAGGGGCGGGCGTGTTTTTCTCCCCCGCATCACCACCGCCAGCATCCTCAACGCCCTGCGCGAGGCAAACAACATGAGCATGAGCTGACACCTGTCTCTCTGTCTCTCTGTCTGCCTTTGTATCTGTCTCTATGTGTTTATGTGTGCGTATGCTCGTGGGATGGTGTAAGGTGGAAGAAATCAAGTCGAGGAGTCGGGATCCTGGTGTTATTCTTGCTACTGCTACTGCCCCCTGTTGTGTAGGTGTATGTTCTTTGTCAACTCCCACTCTTTCCCTTCCCGCCACCTCACGTCTGAAGTGTTTGTATCGTTGAGAAAGGTACTATGCTTCGCCGCAGCAGCGTCGCTCTGTTCCGCCGCACGCCCGTCCGTCGTAGCGGTGGCGAGTTGTTCGTGCGCCCCAGTCTCGACCAGATCCCGCCGGCCGAAGAGTGCAAGGGCTTCTTTGGCCACCTGAATGGCCCACTCAAGTTCCTGCGTCTCATCGACATCAAGTGGATGATGAACCGCGCCGTGGCGATGCGGCGCGAGTACCTCATCGCAACGCCCACACTCTACGCGTTTCTGTGGATGTTCTCGTGGAAGGGCGCGTCAATGTACTTCTGGGGCGACCGCGCCCCGCCGCGCCGCATGGACTGGAACTCAGAGAAGACGGGATACCTGCCGCCTGGCTTCAAGCCGACTGCCGTGGCGAAGAGCATTTAGGCACACAGACAGATCTGACCACGCACAAAGATGCATCTTCGTGCGTGCATTTGTACAGATATGTGTGTGTTTGTGTGTGTGTCATGTGATAGGAGTTTAGGAGCAGTAGGATCGTTATCTAGCCACGTATATTGTGAAAGGGGAAGGAAAATGAAAGTGAGTGCGAATTCGCGCGCGGTGTGTATGTCTCTGTGTGTAAGTGTATAAGCGGAAGTGCGTGCTCCTGTGTTTATTGTTACCCTTGTCGTGTTGTGAAGAGAGAAGAAAAACAAAGCGGAGTGCAGCACCACATCGGCCTTGCCGCAGCGCACACCTCTGCGCAAAAGAGTGATATAACATGCCTACTCACACAAGAGCCAAAACGTCAGAGGTGTGTGTTGGAATGATCGCAGAGTCGGCCTCGATGTCGGTGTGCAGGTGTCTCCCACCCCTCTCTATCTCCCTACCTGTATGAATGTGCCCGCCTGCTCCCCAATAAAAATCTCCCTGTCCTTTCTCTTTCTTTTTTTTTTTTTGGTTTTGTTGTGCTGCTGTTCTTATCACTGCTGATGTAATAATGGTGGTGGGACGGATGGAAAGGAAGAGGGAGAAGGGAACGAGAGAATCCGAGAGACTTCTCCGCCCACGTATATAGAAAACAATAGTCAGCTTCAAGAAAGAAACAGCAACCGTAGAAAGAATTAGGGAACTGAAGGTGTCGTGATGGCGCAGCCTATCGCTGATGTGAGGGCCCTGCGTCGCGTCACGTTTGCCGGTGGGATAGGGGAGTTGCCCGATGAGGCAAGTGCCAACGGGGACTCCATCGTGTCGTGGGCCGGCACAGCAGCAGCAGACGTGCGCCACGAGAAGGACGAGCTCATTGGTTGCGTGAGTGCGGCATTGCTACAGGAGGTGTGTTTTCCCCCGAAGAAGCCACGCGACGGGACATCGACGGTGGAGTACGATAACGTCATGCGCATCGCCACGTTGGTACACACCATTAGTATGGAGGACGGTGAGTTTGTCTTGAAGCTTGCGTTGTACGTCCGCCACGATCTCAACATACGTCGGACTGCCGCTCTCCTCGTTGCGTTGAGCGCATTTGAGTCCAACTGTCAGCCGTTTCTCACGTGCTACATGAAGCGTATCCTCCAATTGCCGTCCGACTGGCTGAGTACCGCCAGCTTTGCGATGTACCAGCAGCAGGAGCTGCTGTGCCGCCCAACGGCTGACACGTGGGGCCCCTGTTCCCCTGTCAAGAGTGAGCCACAAGGGCAGCAGCAGCAGGAGCGTCGCGGCTTGCCCAACGCACTGCGTCGCGCCCTCGTGGCAACCTTCACCATGTTTGACGAATTTGCCCTTTCAAAGTACAACAACGAGAGGTCCGTCAAGCGCGCACGGTCGAAACGCCGCGCCACCGCGTTGTTTGCGTCATCCCCCACAACCGCTACTACACAGTGGACCCTCAAGGACTTTGTGCGGCGGTTGCATATCTCGGAACCCGCATACGCCGTCTGCTGCCTGCTGGGCAAGCGCTACCCCAGCACGGTGGAGGAGTTCTGCCAGCGCGGGCTGGACGAAGGCGGCACGCGCACCTTCGATCCCGCGCTGTGCGGTCAGCGCATGCGGCTGCCGGTCGCTGAGACGTGGGAGACGCAGCTGTCGTCGCGCGGCAACCGCGGCGCCGTCTGGGACGACCTCGTCGCACGCAACCGCCTACCGTTCATGGCCACCCTACGGAACCTGCGCAACATTGTTCTGCGAAAGTGCTGCGACGAGACGCACGCGACGCTACTACGGCGGCTGACGTCAGAGGAGGAGGTGGCGAAGTCGCGCCAGTTCCCGTATCGATTTCTCAGCGCCTACGAGGCTCTGCAGTTCACGGCAAGAGAAGAACTTGAGGAATTGTACGACAGGGCATACAGACCTCAGAATAGGCGCAAAAAGCTCAGAGACAAGGCACCCACAGAGGCAGAGGTCATGGAGTTACAGAAGACGTACAAAGCGGCACTGAACCAGGCGGCGGAGATCTCAGCGCGGCTGAATATTATACCAATTCGAGGAAGTTCGCTCGTTATACTGAATGCAACCCACGAGTCAATGTATGAGGGCGCTTCCGGTAGGGCGATGATTGACAAGGCGATCATGCTGTCGGTTGCTTTCAAGTACGCATGCGAGCATTGCGTACTACTGGTGATTTGCGGTGACAAACACCGCATGATTGAGCGGGACTTCCGCAGCACGGGTGGCATGCTGCATCACGTGGAGAAGATCGGCATCGCATGCCGGAATATGAAAGATGGCAACCAGCCACAGCGCATCACTCAGGAAGAGAAGCAGGGGGCGGGAGTGACAAAGTTCCCCTATGCCTATCTGGACAACGTCATTGAGCGTCGTCTGAGCCTCCAGGCGCTGGTGGTCATGGACTGCGAGCATAGTTGCTACTCAGGGCAGAACGATGCCCCGTCGCTAGGCGATCTTCCTGTGTACCTTGAACGTATGCGAAGTATGTGTAATGAAGAGCTTCTCTTTGTGGGGCTCAGCACGTCATCAAGAAATTCGTTCGTTAACGATGTACGCATGCGCTACCGCCATAGGAACGACATTCTTCTGACAGGCTTCTCCGATGCTGTGCTGCGCATCGTGGCGGAGCGGGCTGGTGGCGGGCCACGTCGCTACATTGAGCGCGCTGACGAGGTATACAACGTCAATCGCGCGGCGATTTGTCCGGGTTTTACGTTGGAAAGCGACCTGCAGGTGCTGCAGGAAGTTTTTGAGCTCGAGAAGGCGCGTGGAATTAGCACGGGCACCAACGGATCGGAGATGCTATCTGAAGAGGGACTCACCGATAGTTCAGCCGGCTCAATGTCAGGGGCTGCAGCTGTCACAACAGCAGTGTCATCACCACGAGGAAGAGCATCACCAGCACCCGCGTCGTTGATGAACACATGGGCACCGTCAGGGCGGCGCTTTTTGTCTACATACCAAGACTGCCGTTTCTTCATCTCGTCTACGTTCCTTGACATGGAGAACGAGCGCAACGCGTTGGTGCTTGATGTCTTTCCCCGTCTGCGTCGCTGGGCGGCGGAGGCGGGGCTGCACCTCAACATTCTTGAGGTGGACCTCCGCTGGGGCATCACCGAAGATGCATCGAGTGCCGACTTGTCACTCTCCGTCTGCCTCAACGAAGTTTCGCGCTGTACCCCGTTCTTCCTCGGTGTGCTCGGCTCCCGCTACGGCTACTGCCCGCCCACACTCTACCACCGCCTCGACGACGACGTGGACGCGGACGACTTTGCGTGGCTGCGGCAGCTGCCCCACGGCAACGAGGCACGGATGTCTGTAACGGAGATGGAGATGCGGCACGCACTCTTCACCGCGACGCGGCGAACAGGGCTGACGGTGCCACGCACAATGGCCTTTCTCGTGCGCGATCACGCCGCGTTGATGTCATCGCTGTCGGTGAGTGAACAGCGCGCGTACGCCCCTGACACGCCGACGACGATGGAGTCAATGAAGAAGCTGACAGCGTATCTAAAAGGGCAGGGCTCACCGGTGATCCCGTACACGGCGATTGGCGCAACACCGATGGATAACACGCTCTCAGCATTTGCCATGACGTCTTCGGCAGCGATGACCGCAACAGCTGGAATGACAACGATGGCGGCACAACAAGTGCCACTTGACATGACAGATTTTTCGCGTAAGGCGTTTTTCGCCCTGAAGGCAATTGTGAAACAACACTGTGGGCTTTCATTGGATGGAAGCTACATAGAATGCGCGGGGTTCGATGGGGACAATACAATGAATGCACGAAACGATGGCAACTTGCACCATCAAGGGCATGATACGAGAGGGATGAGTGACGCTGGCACACTGTATGGGCGTGAGTACATGGATCAATTAAGATTCACATCGACGCTACTCAAAACGTGTGTGCCTCCTATGGGTCTTGTGGAGAAGTTGACGCTCTTCGCTCTTACAGGGCGTCGTCCTACAGCCGCTTCGTGCGCTTCCGCTGCCGTGGCAGAAGCAGGCGCCTTGATTGATCACCAAAGTGATTCTGAGCGTAACGTTCTTCTTCTGCAGGGTGCGGAGGGGAATGGTGCCTCCACCATCGCTGCTGCCGTTGCATCGCACATCACTGAGATGGAGGATCCCAATGTTGCAGTTCTCCACTTCTCTTGTCAGGCGAGCGACGGGAGTCTGCGACGTCTGGTGTACTATATCGCCTTCTCGCTGGTGTACCGCCTCGGGCTGGAGGAGGACTTCCGTGTGCGGGAGAGTGACTCTGTCACAACGCTCTTGCAGCTCCTCCCACGCGTGTATGCCGCTGCACGTAAAAAGAAGCATATATGCATCATCCTCGACGGCATGGACAAGTCCTCGTACGCGGCGGAGATGCGCAGTAGCCTCGGCTGGATCGTTCTCCCTGGCACCGCTCCAGAGATTCTCTTCATTATCACCGCCACACTTGGCAGTCCGCTTAGTACTGTGCTGAAGTCGCGCGTCCCACCGGCGTGGAGCCTCGCGCTGCCAGACTTGAGTATGTCAGAGCGTGCCGAAGTTGTGCGACGGCACCTTGCGTCCTATGGGAAACGTCTACAGGAGTCGCTTCGCGTGAATGAGCTCAAGCTGCTCCTGCGCAAGACACAGGCCAACCAAGCCTCGTACCTCACATACGCTATCACGCACCTGCGGCTCTTCAGCGCCTATGACACGCTGCGAAGGGACATCGTGAGTCTCCCGTCCACGCTCCCACAGCTGCAGCTTGAGACGTACAAGAAGCTGGAGGAACGTTTCGACGTGGTCACGTGCCGCTCTGTTCTCGTCGCGCTCTACCTCTCACATGGGATTGGTGGCATGAGAGAGTTCAACCTTTACCGCCTAGTGTCGAACGTTTCGAGTGCGTCCCGGCTCGTCGCGCTGCTCACTGGAACGTGCCTGCGTGTGACACGGCGGCGTGTGGACATCTCGAGTGCTTTGTTTGAGGCGTCCATTGCGGCGCGGTATCTCCCACGCTCGTCGGACGTCGTGGACGCATGCGCATGCATGTTGGTGGCGGAGCTGTACTTCCGAAGGCTTTCCATTGATGCCGCACGGTACGAGGTGCGCGATAGCATTCGTCACGCCATGGAGTCCATTAGGCATGATCCGGTAGAGACGTGCTTGTTCCGCCCGAAGCGCTACACTGCGAATCAGCTGCTGTCTCTGCTCCACCTGGCGTTGCGGGCAAAGGAGTATGACGTGCTCGCCACACTTGCCACGTATCTGCCGTTCCTCGAGAACCTCATTACGGATGCAGTGCGCTTGCAGCGATTGATGAACATACTTTCGCAGGCGGCACTGTCGAACGCATTACTGTCGCGTAGACTGGCACCAGTCACTGATTTCCTGCAGCAGGCATATCATGTCCTCTCAGATCGTCCCAGCCTTCTGAGGCAGTGTGTATACAATCGAATGAAGGAAAACATCTTCCATGGCGTGCCCAACAGCAGGGCCAAGGCCCGGATGTGGGTGAGGTGGATAAGTCGAAGCCAGCACGGTGAGGAGGGTCGCACCATCGCATTCCCATCCACAGAACCATTGCAGTGCCTTGCGCTGAGTGATGACGGTAAATACATGGCTGGCGGTAGTGATGATATGATGGTGCGTGTGATGCCGCAAGGAGCGGTGGACGAGATTGCCGCTTCGCTAAAGCACAACGCCCCTGTCACCGCATTAGCTTTCCTGCCTCACCGGTCGCATATTCTCGTGACGGGGTGTGGGCGCGGGCACCTTCGCCTGTGGAATCTTGAAGACAACAGTCTCCTGCAGCAGAGTCTTACGCCACATCGGCGCTGTATCTCGTCGCTTGCCTGTCACCCCACTGACAACGTCGTTTGCACCGGCAGCCACGACAGTACATGTGCCTTCTGGCTTGTGGTAGGCAGCGTCGCGGAGGCCACCGTGCGGTCGAGTGTGGAACCGAGCGAAGTGCTAAGGCATCACCGCGCGCCCGTCTCATGTGTGGCGTACCACAGCTCTGGCGAGATCCTTGCAACGGGGTCGTGGGAGGGGCGTGTCTTCTTCATCAATGTGCAGCGCCCGCTGGCGGAGACCACCTGCACCAAACAAAAGGCATACTTCAAGCTGCCGTATGAGCATCTCGTGATGGAGATGTGTAGTCCAGTTCGAGCCCTGGCCTTCACACCCTCAATGGTCGTGACATGTGCGGTGGCACTTTACGATGGTGATGTCTGGCTCTACGACTACGCCTCCGCGTCATGCAGCGCAAACCTCAAGCTTCATGCTGGTATTCCCGTTACATCACTCGCCTTCTCTCCGGACGCAAAGTTGATGGCCTCCGCCAATGAACACGGTGGTGTGTGTATCACGTACGCCGGTGTAGCAGGAACTAAGGTGTGCTCCCTCAACGGTCACCGCCGCGCCGTTAACGCCATTGCTTTTCATCAGCAGAAGCCATCGGTACTCTTCACTTCTTCACAGGAGAGAAGCCTCAAAGAGTGGTCGATTGGCCAAGCTGCGCATGGCAATGACGTGTACGCGATGGAAGGGACACATGCTTTGACTGTCACGGCGTGCGCAGCTGCGTCTGACGGTTCCTTCTTTGTCACAGGTGGTGTGGACGGGTTGGCGTTCGTATTCAACGGTATTGGGTCCGACGGTGACAGCAAGGCTCATCCCACCAGCAATAAGGAGTACCTCTTCACACCGCTTTTCACCCTCTCTCATGAGCAGAATCGTGTCTCATGCATTTGCATTGGAATGCAGAACAGCCGCATCTTGTGTGGCACAGGAGTGGGGGAGGTGTTTGTATGGGCTGCGACTCCCGGGATTGATCGCCGAGAAGGGCGCCTGCTCCAGCGTCTCCGTGTGTCACGGAATGGGGTGTACCCTGTCGTTTTCATCGAGTGCGTGAGGGTGGAGGGCAGGGCGGAAGCGTCCAAGCAGCACTATGACGACGCAATGAATGCAGCCTCATCGCTCAAGCCACTCTGCACACGCGCAACGGCGCTGGCGACGAACGGAATGTTAGTGACGTGGGAAGTGCACGACGAAGATAAGTCCATGGCAACCATGAGAGGAGACGCATGGAGAGGCAGCTGCAGCGATTCAACCGACGGGGAAGGCGACGGGTCTTGCTCCACTTTGGCGACGGATTCTGATCTCCCTGAGGTCACATCGCAGTGTCATGGCTCACACAGTAGCCGAAGCGCTCGTTCGGTGGCTTCGGAATCCGAGGACGGAGGGATGGGAAGAAGCAGCGTGAGTAGTGACGTGATACCGTCACTTCGGCGCGTAGCGCTCAAGTGGGTGGCGGGGTACGAGGACTTGCAGCAAGAAAAAGAGGGAAGGGTGTCTGAGTGGATGTCGTCTTTCCCCTGCAATGAGGATTCGTTAGCCGCTATTTCTGACGCCGCGGAGGAGATCGTTGCGGCCGTTCCGTTCGTGCACCAGCGAGAGATGCAGCAGGAGGAGGACGGGGAGGAGCCGCCCCTAGACGGTCACTATATTGTTCTTGGGCGGACTCAATGCCACCTCGCCGTGGCGTCCCTCCACTCGCTTGTTGTTGTGCCGATGCGACGCGCAGCGCAGCAGTGCGGCTGTGCCACGCCTGCGAGCGACTCCGACTACACACTGGAGAAGGGAGAGAATTTCCTCTGTGNGAGCAGCTGTGTTCGTGTCCAGGCGATGTGGCCGGAAAATGGCAACAGTACACCCTCCGCTATGCTCTTCGCCGTCGGAACGAGTTCCGGCACCGTGCTGTTGCTCGAGGCCTCGTACAACACATCGGACGGTGGTGGTGCGGTACGGGCCAGCAGCGACGACGTGACGACGCCCTTGATGTTTGCGCATCAGCAACGCGTGCGGCTAGAGGTTCGACACTCTGCGGTTATTAAGAGCCGTCACGGCCGGCGTCTACCGGTGGACGCCGTTGCGCTGGCAGCGCCAGGCACTGTGCTGACAGACACCACAAAAGAACCAAGCGTGCTGCAGGACGCACAGACCTCGCTTCTGCTGACGGTGGGCGGCCGTGACGGCTCCGTGCGCCTCTTCACAGTGTTCCCGTTCCGCGACACGGCGGAGGGGGTCGCGCGTCAGAAAGACGGCGCCGCCGCCGTGATGGACGAAGAGGAAGACGAGGAAGATGAGGAGGAGACCACCGAGGAGGCTGGGGAGGCGGGGCGTACCGCAAGTATCAGTTGCTTTCAAGAGAAGGGCATTTTCTTTGCGTCGTCTGGCGTGACGGCCGCTGCGGTGGTGCGGATGACGGCCAACTCGTCGCTGCGCCACTCGCGCAAAGCCTCAGCAGCAGCAGCAGCGGGCCGCAGGATGTCCGCTATAGCGCAGCCAAATGTCATGTACATTGCCGGCGACTGGCTTGGTAACGTCTATCAGTTGCGGCTCGAGCAAATGGGTGCCGCCCAGAATAAGGCGAATGCGTTGTCGCGTTGGAGGGCGGCAGCGGCAACTCTCTTCCGTTGGTCCGCTGCAGGGGCAGGTGAGGGCGAGAAGAAGTGGGACCGCCGTTACACTTCTCTGGGGCTCCTGCCATTGTACGGGAGGGCGGCTTCAGCTGCAGTGGTAGGAGCAGCAGAAGTTGATGCAGAAGCGTCTTTCGCTGAGCGAAAACTGCCCAACTGGCGTCGTGAGGAGCGACGCATCACGGCGATGTTTGCTCCGTCAACGGCGGAGGCGACGGGCGGGGCTCCCATCATGGCAGCTCTGCGTGAAACTGACTCACTTGTGCTACCACCATCGCCGCCGCCGCCGCCGCCGCCGCCGCCTGCAGAGCCGGCACCCCCAACGCTGTTAGCAGCGGACATGCCATCGTACGAAATGATACTTCAGAGCGTACCACCCGGTTTGGACGCGCAGCAGCGGAAGCAGTGGCTGAAGGAGCGGCAGCGTCTCCTCATTGACGCACTGCAGGCACAGCGCAGGGCGGCAAAGGCGCGTGCGGTGCTCGCCCAGTACTCAAAAGATGTTCTTCTCTCGTTGGACGCGTCCTTCAAAAGGTAAAAAAAGGCTCATCTACCTTTTTATTTCGTTCTCTCTCTCTCTCTCTGCCTGCTATAGTCATTGCTTTGTTTTCTTATTGGCGTTCGTATATGTATTTGTGTGTGGGTGTGTGTTGTGGGTTTTTTTTTTGCTTTGTTGCTTGCTTATGATGTTCGTGCTGTTTCTTGCTGCGACTGGTGCCGTTGCGTCCTTGTGAGGTGTAGTGTGCTCCTCCCTCGCTGCTGCTAGGCAGTGTTATACATGCACAACCATGGGGCATGGACTGAACGGCGCGGTGTGTGGGGACGGGGAACACCTCCGATGCAGTTGAGGCGGCGGGAGGGGCGTGCGAATGTGCCAAGTTCGTCCTTTTTGTTGTTGTTGTTCCTGCGACTCGTCTCTTTGTTCCTGTTTCGTACCTGCTGGGGAGTTGATTGCACTGCAGTCGTCTGTACTATCCCTCATTCTCTCTCCCTCCCTCCCTCGCTCTCTCTC